TTTATTTATTTATTTATTTATTTATTTTCCCTTTTGATAAACCCACTGAGAAAGGCAAGTGTGGTGGAGCGTAGCAGTTGGACACTTGCAACTAGATTTATTTATTTTTTGGTCAGATATCAAAATAACATCTGAGGACTGCATTAACTTCATCACACATCAATTAACCTACTTCTCAATGAGACGTACTCAGACATGCGTATACATAATTGTAAGGTACAGCACAGGGCTTGGTGAAGAGCGTTGAAATGCGCTATAGAAATGCACTTAGTTATTATTAAAATTACATAACGTGCAAGTCTTGGTTTATTGATGTCGGCGAATGGATGGATGGATGACTTGTGCGGCTTCATTCAACTAAAGGAGGTTTTGCTTGTGTTTTAAGCTTCTAATTTTTAAAAAAATTGATATGCTTTTATTAATGTTTCATTATTTCGTTCTTTTTTTAAAATTGTTTTTTCTTGTATCGATTTAATTTGGTTTCCGTATTTGATTAACATCTTGTTGTTTGTTTAGGGGTTGCCGGTTTTGTGGTTTTTTTCCAGGAGGGAAGGGGGTGGGGTGTTTTGTTATAGTTTGCGGAAGAAGAGGGAGGGTCCCTACATTATATTTGGCATATTCTCATTATTATTACAGTCCGGATCTAATGCAGCCAAGTTCCTGAGGACCAGATCTCTACGCCGGTGTTCCAAAGATCCCAGCTCACCTCGGTGACCCAAGCCCCTCCGCGCGTTGTTGACGCAGTAAACACAAACCGCTTTTACAGCGCGCCAGCCATGGCACACTTGATCCGCTTAGTGGAATTTCCGTTTTATTGCAATGAGGCGGGTTTGGGGGAGGGGGGGGGGATAGAGAATTTTTACTCCGTCGACGGTGTCATAAGTTTTTGTGGATGGCGAAGATAGTACTGAGCAGCGCTTGCATATCGATCTTTCAACTCTTTGTAGATCGCTGTCGCCTTCTCTTCATGACACTCACCCTACCTTTATAGAATAAATTCTAAACAAAAAAAGGAAAGGAAAAAAAGAACACCAGAGTATATAGATTTGAAGGATTGTAGACAGAGAGGGGTGGAGAAAGAGAAGGAAGGAAGAGAATAGAAGAGGACAGAACAGGACAGAACAACAGAAAAGAAGAGAGTGAGAAAAATAAAAGAAACAAACTGACAGAAAGAGGGAGAGAGAGAGAGAGAGAGAGAGAG